GCTTGTGAGTTTTAGGTCTGGTTCACGGGCCGGTCCGGTCCGGTCTGTTCCTACCTGTCACATTCAACAGGCTGCGACGGTGCAACGCGCCACACTGCAGGATCATCTTAGAACTCGGAACACTGGAAGATCGTCATGAGGGGGAAATCGGGGCAAGAAACTGAACCCTGAGAACTGGGCTTTACAACATGTGGACGCCTCGTCTGACAATTCAAACCCCCGCGCCTCTCGGCTGCAGTCAAGTCGCCGACCCTTGACCCCTGACCGGGCCGCAGTGATAAAAAGGTTGGGGACCACTGACCTAAAATAAAATCATGATTTTATTGCTTATTATTTATTTTACATTAAGTTGGTTTTCAATGTCTGACCAGCAGGTGGAGCTGTTGGTGTTTTCATGTTCTGGTGCAGTTATTAATAAATCTCTTCTTCAGTTCATTTGTGTCTGGTTTGTGTCTGTGTTTACGCTTTACAGCTGTTCTGTATCGGTATCTGATATCGTATCAGATATTGGTGTCCGATCGGTGCGTCTCTAAGGAGAATATGGATCATCGGTTCAGTCAGAGCAGAAAAACTGTGGTACCGACCTGGTTCTGCTCAAGAGCAGCAGAACCTCCTTTAGGTCCGATTCTGTGTAACAGCTGGAGGCAGTTTGGGGGCGGAGCCAGAGAACAATTACATCATCGTTACATAATCAGCTCAGAGGAGGAGGAAGAGTCCTCATCTTCATCAACCTGCTGATCTGGTACCGGTGAGCCCACTGGTTCTGCTACTGGTTCTGCTACTGGTTCTGCTACTGGTTCTACTTGGCCCAATCAGCATCCAACAGACAGGTCATCTGGAGGTTCTCTAGAGGTCATCTGGAGGTTCTCTAGAGGTCATCTGGAGGTCGTGAGCAGCCGGAGGAACTGACCTGACAGCAGGTGGACTGAGGGGAAGCTCCTCTCCAGCTTCACCAGCAGAACGCTGAGGAACGAGTCGGCGCCGATTGCAGCCGGGTCCGAAGAGTTCTGGTCATAGACGACCACTTCCTGGTCGCCCTGCAGCTCCAACTGGACAGAAACAACAACTTCCAGGTCACTTCTTTGTCAGGAGTTCACTCTGAAAGTACGACTGATGGATTAGCGGGTTCACTTTAACCCCCCCGCCATCCCCCCTCACCTGGCTGCCCCCCCGACATCCCCCCCTCACCTGGCTGCGGGCGCAGTGCTGCAGCAGCTCGGTGATCTGCACCTTGTCCTGCTGCAGCCTCCTCTTCATCAGCTTGGAGCCGTTGACGTTCAGCGCCTCCAGGATGTGAGACGTGTTGTAATCCACGAAGGGCCGGCTGTCGATCAGAACCACCCGGTCCAACCCGCCCTCCAGCAGAACCACCAGGGCCTCCGGCCCGATGGGCCGCACTGCGCTGGGCCTGGGCATCGCGCTCCGCTCCGGTCCAGTCCGCTCCGGTCCAGTCCGCTCCGCTCCGGCTCTTCCTCCTCAGTGGCGGTCCGGTCGGTTCCAGAACACAAGAAGCTCAGAAGAACTTCATGGTTCTGGATGGTTTAAAGGTCCTGTTGAGGAGGAGCAGGTGAGGAAGATGAAGGTAGGATGATGTCACATCTAGGGGTGGGGCATCATCATCTTCATCACGCCAACGCTTCCTGAAACAGAAACATCCAAACCATCAGAAACTCACAGAGTCCAACTCGACTCAGCTCACAGAACAGAATTTAAATACTTGAATCGGTTTATAATCATCTGGTTCTGGTTCAGCTCTGCATCCAGAACCAGAACCAGATGAGGAGAAGCAGCATTCAGCTTCTATGCTCCACAAATCTGGAACAAACTTCCAGAAAAATGGAAAAGAGCAAAACGCAGAGTTCCTTTAATCCAGACTAAAGCCAGCTGGTTGGAGTTAATCTGAGTTATGGTCAACATATTTGATGTTTACTGATTTTATTTCCTCATTTAATTTTTTTTCACCAGGATAAAAACACACTGCAGTCAAAAACTTATTTTAATGAATCCAATAAGCAGAAACACCTTCAATGTTTAGATGAGATCAAATTTCTCCTAGAATTACTGTTTTGATTTTTAACACTTTGCAGTTGCTGCAACATGATTAACTAATAAACATCTGGTTGGGATGAATATTTTCTGATAATCATCTGGATCCAGAACCGGACCACTGGGACATTTACAGAAAGCCACTCAGTTTCAGGAAAGGCTTAGATGGGTAATAATTAAAACATTTCTTCCTTCCACTAAATTTTTCTGAGCCTCAGAATCTAGAGCTAAAGTGAAGTTTGGACCCAAATGAACGCTTTAAAATCAGAACAACAGTCTGACATCGGATGGGTTCAGGTCCAAACCTCACTGTGAACCCGATTCTGTAATAACTCGTTTGTTACAATAACTTCCCTCAAAGGAACAGATCAAACGTTTCGTTGGTTCCTGAAATCAAAAGATCTATAATCAGCAGATAGAATAAGGAACATTAAATGAACCAAAACTTTTAGCTGTGTCACCAGATGAAGTAAAACCGGAAGTGGCGCTCATATTAAAGCCAATTCAGAGAAAGTGAAAGCTGTAAACTTTTCTGAAACACCACCCGAACCTCAACCAGAACCCCAACCAGAACCCCCTGTGGGCTGAAGTGGACCTGGTGCGGCCGATAATAGAACCGCTTTAAGGTGGACTTGGGGTTGATTTATGAAGTTTTAGTTCAGCTGATGGCCTTAAGGTGGACCTGCGGTTTAACTCCAGGCTCCAACTAAATATTTAAAATCAACTCGCTGAGCCTGATGACTGGAGGGCGGATATTGAAATAAAGCTTTAAGGTGGACCTCATGGATTCGGACCGACCTTTCCAGAACTTTTGGGTTCTGAACTAGCGACCCCGATCATCTATGACATTTCCTTGGACTGTCGGAACCAGGCCCAGGAACAGCTCAGGAACCAGGACCCGAATTTTAGGCCCCGGTAACGGAACTCCAACCGCCGCCGAAGCTTCGGACCTCAACGAGAAATCAGCGAACTCACCGCCTGAGTGTTGGTCACAGTCCGGCTAACAGCTTCGCCGTCCCGCCTGATGTCCGGGAAGCCCGCGGAGTCCTGCGGAAATGAAAGGCCGAGGAACGGAACAGAAGAGGCGGCAGAGACCGAGCAGAAAGCGGCGGAGTGAACCGAAGTCCTGCCGCTGCCATAAGAGATGAGGTCACCGCGGTAAAAATAACAGCAAGTCGTCATCCGGAGCAGAGTCCGAAGAACTCGGAGGACTCTTAAAGGGCCAGCATCCCAATTACTGACGCTGCGATTTGCTGCAGAGCAGCGTCAGCGTCCTGTCGCTTTAAGAACACATTCAGCATGGGCTGTGGAACTCCAGAACTGCCAAAAATAAAATGAAATACAAATAATACACTAAAATAAAGTGCAAAAATAAATTCGGTATGTAATGGTAACAATAAACCGAATACTGCACAATATAAAAGCAATATGTTTACTGAAAACAATAGAAAATCAAAAAGAAAAGTAAAAGTATGGCTAAACAAATATGTTCTAAAAATAAAAGTAGAAAATAGTACATAAATATTTATTTCCATTGAAATAGAATGAATATGTAAAATAATTTGTATTTGATTTAACAAATATTCCCTTAATTATACAAACATTTAAATTAAAATAGAAAATAAGACATACAAATTTAAAACCAAACTATCATAGGCTTATATGGAAGTAAATGGTCTATGGAAGTAAAGGACACCCAAAAGTAAATCTCTTCTAATTGAAATGCAGTAATAAATAAATATGGTCCAATAAAATTAGATTGACGTTTTGAAGAAAACATTAAATTATATTTAAATGTTGAAAATATTTTAAGATTTGTACTTAAAGCCCAATAATACAAAGACAACCAAAAGTTACAAAAACATACCAATTTAAAACAGTGTAATCTAATGTCTGAATATAAAAATGTTATATTATTTCAAATATTCCATCAGCTGCATAAGGAATACATCATAACACCAGAATAACATCATAACCCCATATTTGAACCATAATAATCTTATTTTATTTAAACCCATCTCGTTTTTACACAGATGTATTTATTTTCAGTTTTTTAATGGTACAGTTGTATGATGTGAATGTAGTTCTGCTAATCCACCTCCTTTGCTTTTGCCACTTTTAAACCTGTCTGTCCATCTGGAAAGATGCTGGAGTAGGGGACACAATCCATTATGATGGATGGAAAAGATGGTTTGATCTTCCTACTTCTCTCTCTGCATCCATGAAACAAACATCTTAAAGAACCAATCAGAACTAATGCAGCAGTGCTGCTTTCCCTCAGGACACCTGAGCTCTGGAGGAGCGAACCCAGCAGGTGACAGAGGAAACCCTCAGAGTCTAGATGGTGTTCAGGATCAACCAGCCGGCTGAGGTTGATGCTAGTTGCAGAGAGTTGTCCTCTGGTTGTGTAACAGGAAGTCAGCTGAGCCTCATGCTGCTCCAAACGGAGCAGCGACGGGACAAAGGAAAGCTGCACATAGGAAACCTTCTCATTCTGGAGCAATTAGCATGCATGGATAACTCCCTGAGAAAATCTCATGCAGATTGTTGAAAAAAAAAAAAAAAGATCAGAGGAAGAGACGATCAGATCATCAAGAGGAGTCAGCTGAGTAGGTCCATTAGTCAGACCCTCTCCCTGGTTCTGACAAGATTCTGGGAAAACTAAAACCAGAATTTAACCTGATTATTCATTTCTAACATACAGAATTCCTCAAGGCATTTCCAGCGCAGGAAAATGTCGTTCAGGTCTTCAAACGGTTTCCATGGGAACAGCAAGAATTTACATTTATTTAAAGAAAAAATAATGACAAAATTGAAGAAATAGAGAATAAAATGTATTATAAATGTGAATGTTACAGAAGCGTGCAGAATCAGTCTGTTCTTCTCTAACCTTAGTTTGGTGTTGCGCCCACTGCGTCCGGCAGGGGGCGGTGCACTGCAGACTGCAGCGAGCGATCCACAGGAGAAGAAGAAGAAGAAGAAGGAGAAGAAGAAGAAGAAGAAAAAGAAGAAGAAGAAGAAGCAGCTCGACAGGAAGCGAAGATGTAAACAAATCAGAAACTACACTGATCTGGATCAAACGGAACCATCTCCCATCTTTAGCTGGATCAGTTGGGTTCGACACTAAAAGCAATTCCTGAGCTCGGTCAGCCGAACCGCTGCTGTTCTGCTGCTCGGGCTCGGTTCGGACTCCGATCCCGGGTCTTTGTTTCGCTTTGGATCGAAATGGAAGATAACAAGGTAATGAGAACCTCTGCCGAACCGGGCTCGTCCAAAATCAACTGGATTAGCCCACCGAACCCTGTGAGAGTATAAAAGGTTCGGTCCTGCTGGAAAAGAATCGATTTCCTTTAATGTGAACAGGTTCGGTACGGACAGAGCCTGGCCTTTGGTTCTGATGCCGCGCTGCTGGTTCTGGAAGGTTGTGCAGGTCCAGTAGTAGGTAATCAGGGGTGTGCGCATGCTCATTGCGGTTCAGGTGAAGCAGGTTGGTTCTCTTTGGTTTTTCAGGAGGTCTGGAATCGGTTCTGAACTCTTGAGCAGTTTTTGTTTCCTCTGGGTCAGCGGTTCTGAGTTCTTTTGGACCGCAAAGCACCTGGAAGGATGTGAATACTTTTCACTGTTCTGTAACATGAGTGTGGTTTTATTCTGAAAATCAAAATAAGAACCGGAAGTACAGCAAATGTCAAGGGTCCAACAGGTGAAAGCCATTAAAGTTCTGGTTCTGTATCTTATACTGGATTTAGCTCCAGAACTACAGAGTCATTCCTGAACCCGTCCTCTGGTTCCGTCCTCTCCCCCCAGATGGTGGCTGGGAAAGTGAAGAAGCCCGGGAAACGCGGCCGGAAGCCGGCGAAGATCGACCTGAAGGCCAAGCTGGAGCGCAGCCGGCAGAGCGCCAGGGAGTGCCGGGCCCGGAAGAAGCTGCGCTACCAGTACCTGGAGGAACTGGTTTCCAGTAAGGAGAGGGCCATCTGCGCGCTGCGGGAGGAGCTGGAGATGGTGAGCTACTGCGGGACACTTCCGGTTCTGCAGAACACTGCTTCCTGTTCAGGTTCTACTCACTGAAACTGGGCCGATCAGAACCAAGACACTAGGTTCTGACTGGTTCGTCCATCCATCACCTAAAACACAAAGTTTCCCAGTGAATTCAGCCATTTGAGTTGGACTCATTTAATCAGAACCAGTTTGTCATCAGAACCATGTTGCTGTGGTTCTGGAGCGGCCCGGTTTCACCTGCCTCTCTCCCTGCAGTACAAGCAGTGGTGCTCGGCCATGGATCAGGGCAAGATCCCGTCGGAGATCAAAGCTCTGCTGACGGAGACGAGCAGAAGATTCCTCAGAGCGGCGGCGGCACCAAGGCGGCCAAGAACGGCAAGACCAGCAGCGCCGTCCAGAGCTAGCGGCCGCTCTATCTGCTCTGACCTCGTCTCTCGTTGCTGAGGTCGGCCATCTTGTCTTCTCCCCGCTTCCCGCCTCCCACCTGTCCAGACGACACTCTGAGGTGACCCGGATGTTTCACGGTCACATGACCCACTGGCTTTCAGCTCCTGAGAAAAAGACCTTAAAGTCTGATCGTCTCGCCGAACGTTTCTGTTCTGGTTCTGACGGATCCAGTCCTGGATCCATTTCTGCTTCGTTTTCAGGTGATTCTGTCTAAATCTGGTCCAGAACCCGTTTACCCAGGAATCCCAGATGTTCTGTTCTGGTTCTGGTCGTGATCCTTCCTGGATGTTGTGCACTTTCTTTATTGTAGCAGAAGCACTTTGAGTTCTGAAGAACCTTTGTAGCTTTTACAGAACTTCAATTTGTCAAAGCAAATAAACCAGAATCATGATTCTGATGAGAATTCTCGACTTCCTTTATTTCACATCATTTACCAGAACCGGGTTCCCTCTGATTTTGGTTCCGGTTCTGAGCGGTAACAGCTAAAGACAGCCTACAGCGCCACCTACCGGCCACAACACATCCAGTTAACTCTTCGGCTTCGGTCCAGTTGGTGAGGTCATCAGAACCAGCTTCAGGTTCTGCTGGCGCCTCTTGAAGCAACACGTTAGCTTCTAGCTCACAATTCACACAAGTAGCTGTTGATGTTCATTGGCTGAAGCAACATGAAAACATGGCTGCCAGGAGCGCGGTCCAATCAGAAAGAAGCCCTTTAAACCAACAAACAATCTGGAGTCACACAGGAAGACCAACACAAATCATTTGGTTTATTTTACCTGTCAAAGCAAAAAAATGTGGCAGTTTGTTTTTCAAAGTCATATCTTCAAGTTTTTCATGCATTTATAAATGCCAGGGTTCCAACTTCAATGTTTAATTTATTTACGTCAATAAATATTTAGCTTTCAAATAAAGAACAAGATGTGGGCGTTCAGCTTGCTAACTAAATATTTAAGTTGGAAAATAAACATTTTATCTGGATAGTACCTCCAAATCAAATATAGAAGCGGGGAGAATTTTACTATAATAAAATGATAGTAATTTTATTAGCTAAATATTTGGTTACATCCGAAATATATAACTAGCAAATATTTGGATAGCAAGCAAAATATTTAGCTTGCTATCTAAATGTTTAACTTGTACAATTTGTCCTCTACATCAGGCTAAATCAACCAAATTATTGCACGTAATTTTTTACTGTGCAACTTGACAAATAGGGACCCTGTAACCGTGGCGTTGGCTGAGTCGCTCAAACGAAAGTGTTGGGCGGGTTGGTGTTGGTGGGCCAGGCTACCTTCTTCTCCTTCGCCTCCCGATCAAACGCGTCGTACGCCGAGTCCTTGGTGAGGCTCTTAGCTTGAACCGGGATTTCCACCACACCGACGTAGTTCTTCTTGGCCATCCGGGAGCTGGCAGTGATGGTGTAAGCGTTGCTGCGGTAGCACTTCATGGACGACATACAGAAGGTCTCCCGCATGCCGCGCCTGAAGTTGGCATTGTAGACGGAGTACAGGGTGGGTTTGGAGGCCGTGGAGCTGAAGCAGAGCCACGCGATGGTTGTGAAGAACAGCAGCTCCTGCCTGCCGGGCGCGTCGGCCTCCTCAGGGTGCCACAGCTGGGCCATGTAGAAGGGCGTCCAGGTGAGGAAGAAAACCGAGTTCAGCATGAGGAACATCTTGATGGTCTTAACTTTAGTCCGTGGGACGATGTTCATGGTCCGACGCACCATATGGCCGTCAGCGCCGATCCTCCAGATGTAGCGAACCACCCGCTGGTAGAAGGAAACGATGAGTCCAACTGGGACCAGGAAGCCAACCAGAAGGTGAAATGCAGCGTAGGTGACACTGCCCCAACTGCTGGGGAGGAAAAAGTCACAATGACTGTCTGTTGAGCCATAAAAGAAGAAACAGGGGGCAATAAAGGCTGCATCAAACAACCATGAGGCCAGAATCATCTTCTTGGCCTTTTCTCTGGACACCTTGAAGCTGAGTGGATAGACAATGGTGTAGAAGCGGTCCACAGAGATGGAGAGCAGGACATAAACCTGGACACCGGGGCACAGGTGCTGCAGGTAACGAACAACCTTGCAGGCAGCAGCACTTAGAGGCCACTGTCCTGCAGCCACCTGCAGAAGGACAAACGGAGCCCAGCCCAGGCTCATGAGCAGGTCTGCACACGCCATGGACATCACAAAGTAGTTGGTAGTGGACTGAGTCCGCCGGCTCCTGTGGATGACCAGGCAAACGAGGGCATTTCCCAGGATGGAGACCAGCCAGAGGAAGCCCAACACCAGGCCCAGGATCGCGACCTCCCCTGAGGACAGGTCGCCGGAGGCGGCGGTGGCGTTTGGCTGCCTGGGGGTCGAACCCTCGAGGCTGTAGAGCGCAGTGGTGGGCAAGGCAGCCAGCACAGTGAAGTTCTCTTTCTTGGAGAAGTTAAATGACATCTGATTCTTGAAGAACGGGGAGTAGAAGGAGGGATTCACACCAACTCTGTTTGTGGACTGAGCATACACCATTTCTATATCGCAGCGTCACAGATGAGCTGTGGAGACAGAAACAGACAGTCACTAGACAGACAGAGCTGAGAGAACAACCTTCTGGAATGTATTCATAAAGCAGGTCCGGTACCATCAGCAGTACCATCACAGGTACCATCACAGGTACCATCAGAGGTACCATCAGAGGAACCATCAGAGGTACCATCAGAGGTACCATCACAGGTACCATCACAGGTACCATCAGAGGCACCATCAGAGGTACCATCAGAGGTACCATCAGAGGTACCATCACAGGTACCATCACAGGTACCATCAGAGGCACCATCAGAGGTACCATCAGAGGCACCATCAGAGGTACCATCACAGGTACCATCACAGGTACCATCAGAGGCACCATCAGAGGTACCATCAGAGGCACCATCAGAGGTACCATCAGAGGTACCATCAGAGGCACCATCAGAGGTACCATCAGAGGTACCATCAGAGGTACCATCAGAGGCACCATCAGAGGTACCATCAGAGGCACCATCAGAGGTACCATCACAGGTACCATCAGAGGCACCATCAGAGGTACCATCAGAGGCACCATCAGAGGTACCATCAGAGGTACCATCAGAGGAACCATCAGAGGTACCATCACAGGTACCATCAGAGGTACCATCAGAGGAACCATCAGAGGAACCATCAGAGGTACCATCAGAGGAACCATCAGAGGTACCATCAGAGGTACCATCACAGGTACCATCACAGGTACCATCACAGGTACCATCAGAGGCACCATCAGAGGTACCATCAGAGGCACCATCAGAGGTACCATCAGAGGTACCATCAGAGGAACCATCAGAGGTACCATCACAGGTACCATCAGAGGTACCATCAGAGGAACCATCAGAGGAACCATCAGAGGTACCATCAGAGGCACCATCAGAGGTACCATCAGAGGTACCATCAGAGGAACCATCAGAGGTACCATCACAGGTACCATCAGAGGTACCATCAGAGGAACCATCAGAGGAACCATCAGAGGTACCATCAGAGGAACCATCACAGGTACCATCAGAGGTACCATCACAGGTACCATCACAGGTACCATCAGAGGTACCATCAGAGGTACCATCAGAGGAACCATCAGAGGTACCAGACCTGCTGAGGTAGACAGGAACCTAGACATGAACAGGTAATAAAACTCAACCTTGGCTCTCGATTGGATGATCAGTCAGTAACCAAACAAGTTACAGACTGGCCAGTGGTTGGATGTTGATAAGGGAAATGGGTTTCTAGGTAAAAGAAATTGCTGGCTGACTTTCATCTCCATCAACTTCCCCCTCTCTTCCAGTCTTTTCTTTCAATTTATTCTGAAGTTCAGAGGGATGGGAGGTTAGTTCAGCATAAAAGGTTCGCCCTGGACCTTTTAGCAGTCCATTTGCTAGAAAGTCCAGTTCAGTTGGGAAGCTGAGAATATGTAACCAAACCAACAAACTGAACTCTGGTCCACAGGGAAGTTTATCAGCCGGTTGCTAGATTTGTTGACTGACTGTTGAGTTGATGGTTCATAGGTTGAAATCAGGAGTGAACCTGAAACTGTTTAAAAGATACCAAAACATTTTCCGACTCAACTAACACGTCAGCACAGGGATCCTCAGATCAGGCCTCCTGGTGTCCTACAGGTTAAATGCTGTCCCTCCTGTAGGACACCAGGCCTGCTGTCCCTCTTCAGCACAACTCAGTCAGATGATCAGGTCATTAGCAAACACAGAAGAACTGGACGGAGGAGGTGATTCAACCATTTGGTTGAGCTGTGTTGTACCAGACGATCATTTAGGGGTTGCAGGACCCCACGGTTCTGTTTTAGAGAACAGGTTGGGATTTTCCTGGGTCTGTGGGTGTTTGTGTAGATGAGCCGAGTGGTAGGACCGTTGGATCAACGGTCAGCGAGGCTCGGTGGTCATATGTTTGTTTAATTGGTCTGGAGATTTTAATGGAATGTAATGTTGATCCAATCAGAGATCAGAGTGGTGGGTTGGTAACGATGCCTAGGGAGTTAGCTACTTGGTTGATGGTTGTTGGCCATCTGCTGGTTGGCTGCTCAAAAGATTTTAACGTAATGCTAGTTAGTAGTTTGGTTCCTCGGCCAGTTCAGTTGGTAAATAAGACTGAGTTTTAATTCACCTTGTTAGTAGACCAAGAGTTGCTAGTTAGGTTGACTTACTGACTGCTGAATGCTTTGGTTCATGGTGTTTTAACTGGGTGCATATATTGGAAAGATGAGAAAACGAGCGGCCATGTTGGTTTCACGAGATTGATCCATAAGCAGGATGTTCCTCTATGAGTCGGTGGTTGAGTTAATCAGGTCACTGGTTAGTCGTGTTGATACCAACCTGAAACACCTCCTCCTCATAAACCTCCAGCCACAGATTTCATTGCTCCTGATTTCCAGTCCTTCACTGGGACCAGTTAGGACTCTGCAGGGACCTGCGGCTCCTCTGGGGGAACCCATTAGCGCTGGAGGGACCCATGAGAGAAAACTGTGTTTACAGACGCCGACCTGTTGGCACGGCTGGATCTACTCGTCAGCAACCTGCCAGAGCCAGCCCCAGGGGTCGGAACCGGAGCCAAACGCTGATCCGGATCGTCTTCTTGTTAGTTTTCTGGACGGATTCCCTCTGAGCTCAAAGCTCCTGAATTCAATTGTGGTTCAGATTTTCTGGCTACTGAAATCCTGGACCTGCCTGAAATATCCACAAGAACACAGTCCTTTAAAATACACACCAATCAAACAGAACCGATTCGATCCGAATCACAGAGTTCTGATCACACAATCAATAAAACTTATTGATTTTCTCCCAAATGAAAGGAAAAAATTCAGACTCATAAAAATGTTGTAAAGTCTTTAAAAATAAGAAAATGAAATCATAATTGAGATCAGGACAGAAATGAGATTAATTGATCCAGTTAATATTCAGATCCGGTTCTGATTGAGACCCAGACGGTCCAGAATCTGGATCCATCATGAACGGAACCAGCAGACCTTCCTCCTTAAATCAGCCTCCATCTTCACGTCCAAGCTGGACCTCATGGAAAAATACTGGCGCCACCGTCACCAGCGTCTCTGAACCCAAACATTAAAACCGAACCGAACCGAGTCTTACATGTTCGGCATCACTGGAGCTTCCTGTCATCGTTCTTCCTCCTGGATCTCCGAATCTTCATCCTCTTCCCACGTAAACAAACCGTCTACTGCTGCACGCAACCGAACCGGACCGGACCGAACCGAACCGGCGGTGCAGCGGGTTCCAAATCCGTTACAGAATCCGAACCAGCGGGAGGAAGAGGAGCTTCATCCCGAGGTTTCAGCAGGAGGAGGAGGCGGCAGACATCATGGCCGTCCGTCCAGGATGAAGCTGACGATGAAGAGGTGGCGCAGCAGGGGCGGGCCGAGCGGGGCGGGGGCCCCCGGGCCGAGCGGGGCCCCCGGGCCCGGCAGCAGGGGCCCCGGCCGGAAAACAAGGGGGACAAGAATACAGGATGACGAAAAAGTTGAGTTCATTCATTAATCAGATTTCATAAAAGTCATGAAAGAAACAAAAGTAATAAAAGAAGACATTCCTTCACAGTAAAAAATGCTGGGTTATTTTCATAACCCAACTTCTGGGTAAGAGATGCTGGGTCATATGTTGGGTTACTTTGACCCAATATTGGTTCAAAAGTAGTGACCCAGCGGTTGGGTTGATTTTTTTTTTTTGTTTTAATGAACTCCACTTAACTGATTCTGTTAGGTTTCAGGTTCGGTTGACTCAACACTTTACCCAATTGGTTGGGTCAAATACAGTTCATATAAAAATCCATTGCCCTCTTCACAAACCTCCATTTTCAACTGGACTGTGACCTGATCAGACAACACTGGACTTCTCAATTCAAATAAAACATGGTAAGTTACAATATCATGGTATAATATTTTTAAAGTTAATAGGGTTATTGTATTCTTTATATACTACAGATCTTTTAAATTAAATTTATGTAACTTTAATTGAATTATTTGATTTAACCTATCATCTTCGTTGATAGGGTAATGTTTTGAAATAATTAATTTAATTCATAGATAATTTATCCAATTTGTTTTAAAAACAGGGTGAGGGTGTGGGAGGGAGAGATGGCGCTTTGCCCCCTGGTTTTCGCTGGCCTCGTTCACTAGCGCGCGCAAAAGGTGGTAGCAGCTAGAATGCTAATAACGGATCTATAGCGACAAGGAGGGACTGGAGGCTTGCAGTAGCGGTGTCCGAAGCGATCAGTACAGAGTATACAGGTATTCATAGTAATATATCAGTAATATAACTGTTAAATGCCATTTTCATTAAGCCTTTTATTTCTTACTGAACACACTATGCTATGCTATTAAACGGTTAACCTGGGTGAAACCGATTGAGGCAGTGGAGAAGAAAAAAACAGTATGCACCAGCAATGGCAGAGGAGGGGAAGCTAAAGTTGGATATTATGCTTTCTGTCAAATAAAAGTAACTTTTACAGATTTCTAGTGAAGATTTAACTATGTAACAATAAAATATCTGCTCGATTTATTGAAATATCTCTTAATTTAAAAGTGCTCCAACATGTTTGGAGTCGTCCCCACCGGTGTTCTGTCAGATCAGCACACTCTGCAATGGCATATGCTTAACACAACTATTTATCTGTAGAACATCCGTGAGATCCTCAGTGCCTCCTCTGAAGGTAGACCTGTGGTTATCAGTCTAGATGGAAATCAGCATATGTCCATTCGTGAAAGACGGTGCATGGTCAGAACACTTGTGTCACACCTGATGGATCAATATGGAGAAAAGTGAGTATTTCTTCTAAAACTAGATCAATTAGGTTGTTTTTGTGACATTTTGCTCTTGGTGAGAACATTAACGGCATTGTGCAGTGCTCACCTAAGTAAAATTTCTCCAGTAAGAAGTCTTAAAGTATGTGTTGGGCTAATAAAAACTGGATTTTTTGGAAATTGTTTGTGTTTTAAGGTTTCTGCTCTATGTTTTCATCTTACAATAACTAATTAAAATAAAATATTTTACTTGCCTGTCTTACTGAATGTAATTTTTTTGTTTCCAGCCCATCTTCAGACACTAAAGCAATTCTGGCATCTTCGATTGTGGACCAGTTTCCATGTTTAAGAGACAGCCATGGCACAGGATATGTAAGTTTTCACACTTCAGAGCACTAGCACACAAGTACTTCAACAACTTGCACAATGGTTAGCATTAAATATCATTGTAACTATGGTGTTTGATCTTTGAGTTGTAGGTTTAATAAAAATTTGGACATTAAAGCAGAAAGGCTAACATTTAACTTTTATATTTCTTTTGTTAAAAATGTTCAGGACGCCTGGTTTACCCCCGGAAGACAACACAGGCCAGCAACTGGCTTTCTGGAGGAGCGTCGCCGTAATGTAAGGAAAAGGCATCAACCAAGGAAGAAGATGCTTTCAGCCCAGAAGCTCCACCAAAAAGATTAAGTTTGCCTGGTACTAGCACATGGACTTTTTCCAAGCCCCTATTGTTTTGAGCAGCAATCTAAGCTCTTATCATTGCTGTGAATTACCTCACATTTTTTTTCTTTTAATTTCTGTAATACTTTTTTCCCCACAGAACCAACCTCAGTGCTGAGCGTGCCATCCAGATGACAGAATGGCTGAAAAAACTTTTGGCCACAGACCAGGTTGTCCAATACATGCGGGAAACTGCAGTATATCGCGCAGGATGGATCCGCTCAAGTGGGACAATCCCAATGCAGCAGATTTTTGCAGAGTTCCCACGTTTGTTGGACACACCAGGAATGGTGAGGTTATACCTCATATTGAGATCAGTTAAATGTTAAACAATAAACTGCAATATCATGTGTAAATGTACAATTACAATCAAACTCAAAATGTCAAACTACCCAGAACATAAATTTGTAGCACCCATGAAAGGTTGAATGTAATAGTTCATTTCACTTTTACATTTGATTTGTATTTTTGTCTTTTCTGATTGTTAGATTTTGCAGGACTTTGCCGTTTTATATCCACAGTCTTGTGGAAAACTGACAGAGAACTGGAACACCTTGTTCTCATCAAAGGTCATTCGCATGGGGAAGAAGGAGGAGAGCGGTCTTCTGCCTGAGATTGAGTTGCTTCCACAAGGTATTGAAGCTCAAAAGGAACATTTTCTGAACTAATTTTTTCTCCTGTGGCTATTTTGATTGTGTAGCATTTTAATCTGAGTTTTTCGTTAACAGACAAACAAGGTGACGTGGCACTCCAGCTGCTGCCAAAACTCCTCCCTGCTGTTCCCTACAGAGTTGGGCGAAAGGTGGTCAGACCCAGCAACCTTGAAGTCCAGCAAGCCTTCATTGATGTCCAGCCAGTAAGTCTATCTTCATGTCAGAACGAATTCTTTGCTGTTTAAATGTAGTTGAAACCAGAAGTTTAAAACAAATATGCTTTTTTTCCCCTCACTGTTCTCCCTGTCATTAATCTTGAATTTACCATGTCCTAATTGACGTGAAATGAGAATTTTAATGTCATATAACACAAGACAGCGTTGACCAAAAATATGTCTTTTATATAGTATATATAAACTTCAAACGCAAGGGTCTTTTGATAATGTATCAAACAAAAATCATATAAGATTAGTCAAAAATTATTAGTTCCTCCTTACCTTTTAAATGACTAATGGCTTCCTTTCTGCTTTTTCCACACACCAGATTGGGACAAATATGGTGGAATATCTTGGAAGTACGGCAACAGAGCATCCACGTGTTCTCATGCTTGGGGACAGGTATTGTTGTTCCCAAGCATTTGTCGTCATAAATGGAACTCCTTTGGAATATCCATCTCTTTTGGGGGCTGTTGACGGCTGTTTCAAATCGTTCTTCGTTTTTGATATGAGTTATCCGAAGTCGTGTGTCCAGATTTGGGATTTTCTCCAAACTGTAATATATGAAATCCCAGGAAATGAGTCACCCCCGATAAAATTAATGAGGGCCCAGTTGGAGGCCATGGAAGAATAAAAGCAATTCTTCAATAACCCTTAAATAAGTTTTAAATGTTCTGATTGAAAACCTGCTGGATGTTTTGTTACTATGTTGCTATTTTTTTTTCACATTTCCTTCAAACTCTTTTGATGAAAATATTTCTTTGTGTACACCAATAAAGTTAAAAAAGGTTGCAGATTTAATCAATTGTTTATATGTAACTTTTACATGTCTGTATTAAAAATTTCATGTATGTTGGAATGTATAACATTTGCAAATAAAAGTTCTTTTGAGCTAATCTGAATGTTTTTAGTTCAATTTTTATAGTGAATTTTAAAATAGAAAAGGAAAAAAAAATTTAAAATAAAAATATGGTGGTAAAATGACCCTTTTAATGGGTAATAAATTTCAACCCAATATTGAGTCATTTTAACTTTGAGCAGTGGTCAATTTAACCCAAGCTTTAGGTTGCAGCTATGACCCAATGTGCTGGGTCAAACCCTCAACCCAACCCAGTTGAGTTAAAACAACCCAGCGTTGGGTCGGTCCATATATGACCCAGCGCTGGGTTACGTATTGGGTTATTTTTAACCCAGCAGTTTTTACTGTGTTTAAGAACAATTTTACAACAGGTGAAGAAGATCCGCATTAAATGGTTCTGATTTTCTTTCTACATGATTTCTTGTCATGTAATTGTTAATAATCTGCTATTTATTTATTATAATTGAAAACTAGCTTACTTTAGCTAGCTCAGGCTAACTTCAATTATGTTTATTATTGAGAGCTGTCCCTATAAATTACATTTGAAATATGAAACCGTTAGAACTGAATGAGTTCGTGTTCATAGTTCTTTAACGCAAAACAAAACAGTCCGAAGATCCAGACAACAATAATCTGAAGATAAAGATAAATAATCTGTTATTTCCACAACATTCAACAATCCGGACCTCAAGAACAGACCGGTCCAGATGGAGGTTCTGGTTCTGAGCCCAACCATAGCACACAGGACACAACCAGAACCAGAACCAGAACCAGTTCTCAAGCAGAAGCAATTGATGCTTTTACTCTGGGCCAGGCGAACTAAACGGACCAATCACAGCGAAGAACCCGGAACTCCGCCCATCATGCGGGATCCAGTCCAGCAGGGGGAGCCAGGGATCCGAACCTTAGAACCTGGCCGGTTCATGAAACCGTGATCCGGCGAGGAGCAGAACCGGAACCGAGGCGTTAGAGAGCCAGCAGGAGAGGAAGACCTTCATCAGCTTCATCTTCATCAGGATCAAAGATGCTCTCATGAACAGATGCATCACTCCTGGTGATGAAGAGGCGTGGCCTAAGCTTGACCTTTTCTGGGCTCTGATTGGTTCACCTCATCTAGAAACTGGAACTGACGTTTCTGCAGCAGCAGTTACCATGGTAACAAGCAGGAAGTGCATGGACCTCCGGCCGGATGTCGGTGAAATTCTCCAGACTGAGGCAGAACTTCATGAAAGGCTCAGACCCGGTTCAGCCCACAGCATGATGCAGCCGCTGCCATAGAGGGCGCCCTTCACAGCTCTGACCTTTAACCCTGGCTGCCTGGACCTGCAGCCTCTCTGGCTCTATAAGAGGAGACACCGGATCAGAACCGGATCAGGACCGGATCAGAACCGGATCAGAACCAGATCAGAACCGGATCAGAACCGGATCAGAACCGGATCAGAACCAGGACGAGAAAAAGGAACTAAAACCTCCTGAACGTTCTGACAGCAGAGGGAAAATCTAATCCGGCTTATCTTCCAGAAACTGGTGAGCAGAACCGATTGGACCTGTGAGCCGAGCGGCACCGAGAGGACCAATCAGAGTGAAGAAGAAACAGAAACACGTGAATGTGTGAATTATCTTCAGAAGGAGGAATAAACATTTGGCAGGCCGGCAGCGAGTCGGCGCCCCCTGCTGGGCGCCAGAGAACAGCCAGTCCGGCAGGGGGCGCTGTTGGGCCGGCCTGATCCAGAACCAAATGTTACACGAGGCTGGTTCTGATCGGGCAGAGGACTCGGAACCACATACAAAGCTTTGCTAGAGGGTTGTAAAAGAGCCAGAACCAGGTGGCACCGCCAGGTGGCGCCCTCCCCAAAGCCTGAGGCTCCATGAAGGGGAAGCTGCAGGATGGAGGCCAGGTGTTGACTTCCTGTGTTGATTCAGGTGTGGCTGATGGCGGTCAGGGGGGAAAGCGTTACCTGTGCGTGGTGCTCGACGCTGTAGGCATGTTTTATACTTTTGTTTCATTAAGATGAATTGCATGTTTTTATGTTTTGTTCTTATTTGAAGGGATCCACCGGATTCATGATGGTGATTTGTGCCATGCAGGTCGCCAGTGTTTTTAATGTGTTTAGATTAAAATGATTTAATAACCATTTAGTCATTTTGTGTTTTTAGTGGTCCTACTGACGCCTGCTGTCTTTTAGAGTTTGGTTTGGTTTTGTAGTTGTGAGGGCGGCCTAACAACTTTTCATTGTTTTTTGTTTAAGGCACTCCCATGACTTCCAACATTGCTGTGATCCCCACTGGGATCACAGCAAACCCTAACCCCTAACCCTAACCCCTAACCTCTAACCCCTAACCCCTAACCCTAAGGGACACAACCACAGGATAAAGCCAGTGGGGAATCCTGGCATGTGAATCAATAAATATTATTACTCATCATCATCCTGGTGAATGTTTATTGCCTTATAACACAGGTCAGAATTGGATCAGAACCTGGTCAAAATGTGGCCTGGAAAAACAGAACCTGGCATCCAGTTGGACCCCCACAAATCAGACATGGTGTGAAACGTTTGTGGAGCCAAATCTTCAGTTGGTGCTGCGTCGGCTTTGAAGATATTAATAAAAGTTTAATTGGGGCTGGCTGACCTTTTGACCTTACCTTTCATTAATGTCTCCAAAGTAAAGCAGCATAAGAAAAACTTTTTGCTGCACAAACGTTTGATACCAATTTTGTCTGATTTGAAGAAAGTGGGGAGCCAACTGCACTCAGCAAAGAACCTGTTCACAACCGAACGTTCATGAAAGCAGAGAAAGCTGATTGGACATTTAACTGGGTTTATTATAACGTTTTTCTGAACAATTAAAGCCACAAACTTTCACCAAAATGAGCCAAATTCCTTCCCAAACATCCTGGGGTGCTTCGTCTGATTGGGACGTTCTTGGCGATTTGTTCAGCTGAATTATTTGGGTCAATAAGTACTTTTGTCTTAACAGAACCATCATGTAAACTGGGTTTACTGTTTAGAACCTGTGAGACTGGGAAGCAGTTGGTGTTAGATCAGAAAATGAAATAAAACCCAGCAGATCTGATCCAGGCCTGCAGTTTGTTACTGAGAAACTAACAGCAACAATGTGGGTTATTTACCCTGTCAGAGCAAAAACACACAGTAAGTAACATTTCTATATTTATTAGTATCACAGTTATAAAGATACATATTTAATCTGACATAAATTTTGCTCCTAGCTAAATATTTAGCCAATATGCTAATTCACCTGCCAAAATAAACTTCTCTCCTAACCGATCCACGTTGCCTCTTCATGTCCAATAAAAGTTGAGTCGTTTAAAGGCAACAGCGACATTTCTATCTCACCAGTACTTTTATTTTGACAGTCCACTTCCGCCGATCGGCAAGGAAATTAGCATATTAGCTAAATATTCAGATCTGAACTAGAAGTTTGTAAACTAGATATTGAGCAGCGCTAAGCTAAAAAGACCAGATATTTACGCAGCTAACAATGCTAAATATTCAGAGCTAAATATAAAAATAGTAGATATTTAGCTCCAACTTCCATTTAGCTTGAAACAGTGACATCATAAATGAATGAATGATGATCAGAATGTTTATTTTTGTCTTGTCAGGCTAAATACCCAAATTATTGCTGTTAATTTCATGAATATTCAGAACATACCGTCTGATCATGTTTGATCAAACCGCTGCTGTTTCTGTTCTGTGACAACGAAACATCAAAAATAAAATGGAAATAATAAAACCTAGATGAGTAATATCCTCCAGTGACGCCAACTGTGAGCTGCAGGATCAGCCAATAATCCCTTCAGGCGGTGGCAGCATGATGCTGTGGGGCAGATTATACTGATGTGATGCGTCTGACAGCGTTTAAAGGAAAACACCACGACTCAATCGTTGTTCCGTCTTATTTTCAACAAGCATTCAGCTCTGTGCGCAACGGGAGGTCCGGCTGGAAGTTCTGGAGAAATGGAGTCATGAAGGAGATGGAAGGTTCTGGGTCCAACAGAGCGGTTCTGATGTATGGTTCCAGCAGGTCGGGTCCGGGTACCCGTCAGAATCAGACAGTATTTACAGAGCGTATGTACACGGCGCCGCGGACCGGGTCAGCCTCTCAGCCCTCCGTCCAGAGTCAGAGTCCCAAACCTGCAGCAGAAGCAGAACTCAAGTTAACCCGGCCCACACACGGACAGAAACGACCAGAACCTGAGCATAGGGTGGCATTTAGAGGTCAGGTCCTGAAACAGAAGCAGTAAGGCTGGTTCTGTTTGGGCCTGCTCCTGGAAGCGGACCTATCCAGGAAGTGGTTGTTCTCCGCCAGCTCCTTGATGACTCCCGCCATCTCCTCCTTCAGCTTCTTCATCCTGAGGAAGAGGAACGGCAGCAGGTTACCGGACCGCCCGGTTCTGGAGCGGCTCGGCGATCCCACTGGCTTACCCCAGCGTCATCTCCACCAGCGTGTTGGGGCTGAGGTACGGCTGGGCCTTCATCACGCTCGGAACCAGAACCTTCTGGGGAAGCTGTTCCTGCAGCTGCAAGCGACACAGGCTCAGCTTGTTACCATGGCAAACCAGAGGGGGAGGGGGAGGGGGGGTCTCGGCCTCCGGTTACCATGGCAACCAGAGGACGAGGGGGGGGGGGGCGGGGCGGTTCCGGGTCGGGCTTCACCTTGACGGCCCGGTCCAGCAGCACGGTCACCTCCTTCTCCACGCCGATCAGCTGACCGGACAAACTGAGCAGCTGCTTCCGAACATGGTGGACCTTCCTGCAGGCAGAGGCAGAACCGGGCCATCAGAACCGGGCCATCAGAACCGGGCCATCAGAACCGGGCCATCAGAACCGGGTCACCACCGGACCGGGACCAGGAGACGAGGACCGTACCTCATCCACTCCTCGCTCTTGGATATGAAGAGTCGGTACTTCATGGCGCATTCGTCGGTGAACAGAGAGCGAGCTTTGCCAGCATGGATCACCAACTTCTGCCTGTTGCAGCAACCGGGCCAGAACCAGAACCAGTCAGAACCAGAACCCGCTCATCAGATTAAATACAGCTCACATGAATATTTGATGCTCTGTCAGATTTCTCTGGTTGTTCTGTAGAACCGGGCCGATTGGGGCCCGGTCAGATCAGAACCAGAGACGTTTCCTGGTTCCTTCATGTTTCATTACTTACTTATCAAACTTGTGGATCTGCTCCTCATTGTATGGAAGACCTGAAAACACAGAGGAGGTGAGGGGTCAGCGGTGACCTCTGGGGTCAGCGGTGACCTCCAGGTCGTCCGTCCTGCTGTGCAGGGAAGCGGGTCTTACGTCGTTCTGCTTTGTCCTTCTTGAATTGCTGGTAGATGGCAGTGATGGCATCCAGCAGGACCTTGATCTTCTCTACGCTGCAGACAGAAACACGACGACGTCATTAAAGCCCCCTGCTGCCCCTCCTGCCCCTGCTGCCCCTCCTGCCCCTCCCGCCCGCCGGCCACGCCCCCTGCTGCCTTACTTCCTGTCCTCGGGGTGCGTCCCGACCTGCTGGGTCCAGCTGTCGGTCAGAACCCCACCAGGCAGGAACTTGCTCTTGATCTCCTGCGTCGTTCTCTCGATGGGATCCAGAGAACCCGAGATCTGCAGAGACATTCCCAATCAGAACCAGAACCAAAAACCCAGACAGCCTACGCAGAACCACCTGAATGGACCGGCAGCCGCAGCCCGACCAATCAGAACCCAGAACTACGTGTTCAGACAGACAGTTCAGAAAAAATGCCAAACTGTATTCTCTGAATTTCTGCATTTTTCCCCAATTGATTCACAACAGATGATGCATAAATATGAAATAAATGACTAGTTTACAAACCACTGTGACAGATTCTGACTTCAGTCCAGAACATTCAGAGCAAAACTAATTCACACATTAAAGGTCCAATGCATGGAAACGCGTCTCTTGCCTCACCAGGTTTCTTCCTGCATGTTTAGTTAAACAGTGAAATATGTAGTCTGGACTCACCCTGAGGGCCTTCTTGTGCATGTCTGCCATGTCTTCGTACTCCGAGGTCAGCACGTTGTTCTGCATCAGAGCCTCCAACCTGCAGCACAACATGCCTCCTGTTAGTCACACAGCTGCACCTGCCGGTTCTGGTTCTGGTTCCAGCGGGTCAGACTCACAGGAGCTCTGCCTTCTCCAGCTGCTGCGTGCAGATGCTGCACAGGTGGAAAACCTCAGACTTCTTGTGCAGAATTTCATTGTAGTCTTCCTTCATCAGCTCTCTGTGAGGATCAACATGTTACAGCACACTGAAGTTTGACAACAGGCTGCAGCGTGGGCCTTCCAGGCCGCCGTAGGAGTCGCACTCACATCAGCCCTCTGACACCTTTCCTCACCAGCTCCTGATAAACCAGCAGAGACTCGGAGGTTTTCCACAGGTGGCCCACATCTCCAGCAAAAGTCTGCAGGACAACAGCAGGAGTCAGAGAGGTCAAAGGTGAGTCAATGTGAGGGAACTATTTCCTTTTGGCTCACAGTGGCCATTTTGCTCCACATGAACATCTTCAATGTTCTCAAAGACCCAGTTGTCCAAGAATTTATTCTAGCTGTACGTTATTCTAGCGTACCTTAGCATAGCTAGCTGTACCTTAGCGTATCCAGCCGTACCTTAGCATAGCTAGCTTTACCTCAGTGTATCCAGCTGTACCTTAGCGTAGTTAGCTGTACCTTAGCATAGCTAGCTGTACCTTAGCGTATCCAGCCGTACCTCAGCGTAGTTAGCCGTACCTTAGCATAGCTAGCTGTACTTTACCGTAGCTAGCTGTACCTTAGCGTAGCTAGCTGTACCTCAGTGTATCCAGCCATACCTTAGCGTAGTTAGCTGTACCTTAGCATAGCTAGCTGTACCTTAGCGTATCCAGCCGTACCTCAGTGTAGTTAGCCGTACCTTAGCGTAGCTAGCTGTACCTTAGCGTAGCTAGCTGTACCTCAGTGTATCCAGCCATACCTTAGCGTAGTTAGCTGTACCTTAGCATAGCTAGCTGTACCTTAGCGTATCCAGCCGTACCTCAGCGTAGTTAGCCGTACCTTAGCGTAGCTAGCTGTACCTTAGCGTAGCTAGCTGTACCTCAGTGTATCCAGCCATACCTTAGCGTAGTTAGCTGTACCTTAGCATAGCTAGCTGTACCTTAGCGTATCCAGCCGTACCTTAGCATAGCTAGCTTTACCTCAGTGTATCCAGCTGTACCTTAGCGTAGTTAGCTGTACCTTAGCATAGCTAGCTGTACCTTAGCGTATCCAGCCGTACCTCAGCGTAGTTAGCCGTACCTTAGCGTATCCAGCCGTACCTTAGCATAGCTAGCTTTACCTCAGTGTATCCAGCTGTACCTTAGCGTAGTTAGCTGTACCTTAGCATAGCTAGCTGTACCTTAGCGTATCCAGCCGTACCTCAGCGTAGTTAGCCGTACCTTAGCATAGCTAGCTTTACCTCAGTGTATCCAGCCGTACCTTTGCGTAGCTGGCGTCCAGGTCCAGGTCGTAGCGCGGCTGGACCTTTGGGGGACTCGCTGTGTGGAGACAAAGTTGCTGATGAAACGTGAAGGTCAGCATGCAGGTCAGACAGAGGTCAGGAAAAGGTCTTACGGTCTTCGAAGATGAGGCCGACGGTGGCGACGACCTCACGGCTCACCACCATGATTGGGTTGTCCCTGGAGGTCTTGGGGAACGTCTTAGCCTGGCGGTTGGAATCCAGGATAAGGCGCCGGCCCTCGTACAGAAGCTCCTGGTTGTGCAGTGGGATGCTGGTCCTGCGGCACAGCAGGTCCTGGAACAGCGCCGCCCTGTGGAGGTGGGAGGAAGGGTCAGGGCCGCGGAGCGGGGGGTGGTATCCGGGTCCAGAACCGGAGCCGGACTCACGTGTTGTATTCGTGGATGTAGACGTGGTGCAGCGTGGCCTGCTGCAGGCTGAAGACGTAGACCACGGCGCGGTGCAGGATGTCGTTGGTCTCAGCGAAGAACTGGTCGAAACCCCAACACTTCTCCTGATCCGCCTCAAGGATGTTGGCCAGAACTGGGGTCAGCAGGCTCTGGAGGCCCCTGGAGGGAGACCAGGGTCAGCCTGACCTCTGGGGGGCAGCACCAACTAGCAGCTACATGTCATCCTAATCTTTACAACCTATGTCTGGATCAGCTGATCCTTGTTCTACAGACACAAAACTTTAACTAGACCACACAGACTTCTGCAGCTGTTCCAGCTGTGTTTGGTAATCTGATCCGGATTAATAATCTGATCTAGAGCAATAATCTCAGTGACCCATACTTAGACAGGCTGCAGGACACAGGCATCTCGGTGCTCCACTCAATCTTTCCGTTCTCGCTCTTCTGGTGGCCAGAGATGGTTCCTGACGGTTTCTCTGTGATGATCTTATACCTGAGAAGGAGAGGGCGGGATCAGCTGACCTGTGGGGAATGGTTGCTGTGGAAACCTGCTCTTACATCACTTCCTTGTTCCTGCGTGGTCCTTCGAACGGTCGGAACGGGAGGCTGCCGGTGGCAGCGTGGTAGAACGTCACGCCGATGCTCCACAGGTCCACCGTGGCGCCGTACTTCTTCTGGTGGTCCTTCCTCAGGACGGCGCGCTCGTACATGTCTGGGTGCTGCAGACACACAACCAATATGCAATACCATATCACTGGTCAATCTATCGACCAAATTGCTATAATTTCCTTTTGTGTTGTATTTATATTCTTTGTTTTGTATTTAATTTGTATTTTTTTGTATTTTGTGTATGCTTACTGTGTGCCACATTTTTGCCTGTGAGCTGCTGGTAACTATAATTTCCTGAGGGAGTCTTCCTAAGGGATCAATAAAGTCAAGTCTAAGTCTAAGTCTAAGGTTAGCTACAGATTAGCAACTCACTGCGACAGGTTAGGTACAGGTGAGATACATGCTGCGACACACAGTTCTCTCCCCAGGTGTGTGTCTCACCAGATACTCTTCGGTGCCGTACAGAGACTGGAACTGCTCGTCGTCTTCCAGCTCGCGGGCGGCACCGAAGTCCGTCAGCTTGTAAACGGAGCGCCCGTCCTCTCCGATCACCCTCATGATGTTTCCCGGCTTGATGTCGCGGTGAACGATGCCGTACTCCCTCAGGTGGTTCATGCCTGCCACTGGGGGACACAGCAGACCGGGTCAGGTGAGGTGGTACCCGGTGGTCCCGGTCCGGGGTCCTGGCCTTACCGACGTCATGGAGGACGATGAGGAACTCATCCTCGGGGAGGCCGTAGGCGTTGGTGGACTCCTCCAGGACGGTGTAGAGGCTGCCGCAGGGGCAGTACTCCATCACCAGGACCTTGTGCCGGGCGTTGGTCTGCCAGCAGAACCGGGTCAGAAACATTTCTACATCTGGACATCAGCCCTCATCAGAAACGGACCCACCTCTTCTTCCACGGCGAACAGCTTCACAATGTTCTTGTGGTTCAGCTTCTTCAGAACCTCAAACTCTCTCATCTGGACGTCGAGCGGCCGCAGGAAGCTCAGGTTGTTGAACACCTTGACGGCGTACAGGTCGCCTGTTTTCTGCACAGAGACTCAACTGTAACCGCCTGACTGGGTTCTGCTGCATCAGAACCGGCTCTGACCCGCGGCCCGCCGTACCTTGTGTCGTCCTCGGTAGACGTTGGCCGTGGCGCCCTGACCCAGGAGGTCGGAGATCAGCCACAGGTAGTTGGCGGTGCTCTGCATTCTGACGGCCGGTGGATCCTGGAGAGACGGATCAGAACAGGGCCGGTTTCGACCCAGATAGTCACACGCACAGAACCAGAAGAACTGGACACGTAAAACAAGACCGGACCGGGTCCACACCGCGGTATCAGTGCACACGTGGACTGAATGGGTCAGAACCGGTCAGAACCACTCACTGCTCTAGAGCCTGGTTCCGACCAGAACCAGTCCAGAAGTGGGTCAGAATATTATCCAGTTCTACCGGACAGTAATGAGCGCTCCATGAGGCGGTTCTGGTGGTGAGCCTGGTTCAGGGCCGGCCCAAGGCATAAGCAAACTAAGCACCAACGCTGCGGTGGAAGAAAGTTATCAAAACAACGTCGCAAGGAAGGACTTATCCTTCAGGGTCAGAGAAAGGAAACAGGAAGGACAGAAAAAAGACGAGATAAAGGTTTGATTTCTCTTGGTTACGTTTTTCAGTTTTGTGGAGCTGCTGATAGAAAATTAGCTTAATAGCGACTTTGAACAAAGCAGTTCAACTGCCAAACAGTTATTTATACGCAATAACTGATTATTTTTTTGACATTTACAAAAGATAGAGACAGGATGGACACTCACATCTGTGACCTGTATGTTTAACAGCTTACAAAAAAGAAATAATATATTGAAACTAAATTCAGGTTTGTGTAATAACCTTTAGCCCCATTAGCCCAAACGCTAAGACAACATAAGGATATTAAAGGGAACATAAATGTGCTTGTAATGCAGACGATATATTAATTTGCAGCCGACCGACTCTCTTCCAATCTTTCAATTATTCAAGCAATTTGGTCAATTATCAGGGTACAAAATTGATATTAACAGAACTCTGTGAACTCCACCACAGAAACACTGAGCAGCTCAAATATCTGGGCACCAAAACACTTCAAAACTATTTGAATGCAATTATGTTCCCAAACAAAACAAAATCAAAGAGGAAGGAATGTCACTAAGTTTTACCTCTAGAGGCGACTCAGTTAAAACCAACAAACTGCCGGCTTTGGAATCAACCCAAAGGTTTTCATGAATGGAACAAACTATTATCAAGAGATATTTGGCAGTGAAAGATTGGATAGCAGGATGTACAAGTGGAGGAGAAAACGGGAGGTTGGGGTTACCTTCCCTTAGAGAGGATTATTTAGCAGCAAGCGACCCAAAATTAATGCTCAATGGAAAAAACTGAGACAAAGGCGACACCTGATCCTATACAAGCAGCTCTGGCTGATGCAAATCCACAAAGTTTCTTAAATAACACAGATAACCGACAGACGAAAACAACACAGAGTGTGGAAAACCATTGTAAAAGAAAATATATTAGAAAACAACATTGGAGTCGCAAAATGGACCAGATGAGACTCAAAGTTCACTCCAAACACACTGGATGATCACTGATCTCTGCTCAGCAACAAACAGCTCAATCTGAAATGATTTTGAATCATTCAAGAGAAAATATTCCCTAGACCAACAGGACTTCTACCAATATTCACAAATAAGACATGTTAACTTAAAAATTAAGCCAATTGCTAACAAGAATATAAACCTAATGGAAATTTTTATCTATTTAAAACTTAAGAGGAAAGTTATTTCACTTACTTCTAAAAACCTAATAAATCTTAAAACAATTGGACCTTTAATGTTAAAGCAGGAGGAGGAGGAGGAGGAAAGGGCAACAACATGGAGGAACCTGGTAAAATTCACAGCTGCTCAGAAATGTCACTAAGTCGGAAATCCTGCAAGAAATCCTTGGAGAAAATGCAGAAATCAAAACGTCATCATGTTTTCTGAATTATAACAGATTACCGGAAAGAGATGAATAGTTCCTGACATTTCCAACAGGACATTCTTTAGAGATCAAACTCATGTATTCTGGCATAAGCCTAAGAAACAAATATCTGATGACTGTTTTATTAACAACATTACAGGAAAATGATTATCACAGGAGGAACCAACTGGATGGAAATAACATTTAACTCTCAGACAGTGGCAGTCGGGTGAAACTAAAAGATCTGATTTTATTTTCAAACAGCTGATTATTACTGAACAAGATGCTTCTGTTAGTTTGTTTTCTACATTTCGAACGATTCAGTTTTTCTTCTTTACGTTCTATTTTTACTCCCACGGTGAACATGTTCCTCAGGGAAGTGGAGCTGAATGATGCGGTCAACTTAATAAAGTTAAAAAAACTGATCCATAAAGGAAAAAAGATCAATAATAAAATGACTGCTTTTCTCCAGACCCCTTTATAGAGCCGGCGTCTAGTCAAATCACTGATGTTGCCTCCTCCTGTTAGACCTCAGCACCGGTCTGACCAGTCTGACAGATCTGAGATCAGGATGTATTCCGGGTGTCAAACAGGAAGTGACCTCTGTCTACTTCCTGTGTAGCCTTCCTCATGGCTCCTTCTTTAATCTGAACCAGAAGCCCAGACTGATCAATCAAATTCAGAAGTACTTTATTGATCCCAAAGGAAATGATCCGATTCCCTCACAGATTTAAATTCAGATTTTATGACCCTAACCTCTGATTTAGACTTTTGCCTCATTATGATCAGTTTAGTTCATCACATTCTGCACTAATTGTTTTGTTGTTGTATGAAAACCAGAGTCGACCTGTCACCTGCAGAAGAACCGGAACCACGAGCAGATGCTTTCAGAACCGGCGAGGATGTTCCATCTCAGGTTGAACCGAACCGAACCGAACCGGACCGGACCGGACCGGACCGGACTCCTCTAGGTCACAATAAGAACAGCGCTCAGCTTCAAGTCTCACAGCTGAAGCTCAATCAGCTCAACGTGAACCTGCAGCAGGTTACGTGATCTCCGCCTGTCGCCATGGTGACAAGGCAGGTTCAAAAGGTACCGGACAGCCCGGCGTGACGTCACGCTGCCTGGAAAGTCCCGTCCTGGGAGTTTAACGCAACGGGTCGTGACGTCATGACGGCTACGCGTGTTATTGTGATCAATCACTGATGGATTAAAGAACTGATTTGAGTTTAATTCTGGCTGACTGAGCCGGGAGCGCGCATGCGCCGGCCGCGACCTCGTCTATAGATGCGGGAACGCGCACTTCGGCCCTCGCGCAGAACCGAGCCGAGCAAAGCTCAGAAAACGGGTCAAAGCACTGGAACGGTTAGCTAACATCTTCCCACACGGAACCATATTCGGGTCAGAACCAGAATCGCCGGTTTTCCTGAAAATAAAGCGATATTTATTTTTGTTTACTTCCTTACCTCCTCTCTGCTGCTCTCGGCTCCTCTTCCGCTGCTCTTTTGTCAGCTGACCGCGACTGACCAATCAGCGAGCAGGCAGAGGCGGGGTGGGGCCAACAGGCTACCGTAATATAGAAAGGAGGGCGCCTTGTGTAATCTGAGTCCATCACATTACCTCGTGGATGAATTCATAGAAAATAAAGTTTAAAGAAAAAAAAAAAACGGGTCACAATCTACAAGCTTATACCTGGAGGATGTGAATTCAGAAGTAAAACACAGGGAGGACATCAACTGCAGAAGCGCACAGGGACTAGTTACTACGGTAAAGACAAAAACTAGAAACTAAAAGTGAAACTGATCAACCAGCCTAATAAAAATAAAAACATGGAGGGTCAACTAAGTAAAATATTCAAGTTAAACTGCAGCAGCTGCAGTTTCAAATAAAAAACATATATTTATATAAACACTTGTAGTAGAAGAAATAAAACCACTTGCAGAAAGAAACGGAGAGCGTTTACACATGAAGGAGTTTAGTTTAAACTAAACTAAAACTGATTTTGAAAAGGGTTAAATTAGTTGCTCTGATTGCTCACAGGCGACTCTTGCTGGTTAAAATAATTTAAATTGACAGAACTTTGTCCAGAAACCTCTGACAGCTTGATCTCCCACACTATGGGTTTCTGAGTCTTCTGAATAATAAAGTTCATTAATAAGAACAACATATATTCAGATCTCTGCTTAGTTAAAACAATTTCTAACAATTCAACTGAAAAACAAAACTGAAACGAGAAAAACTCTAAAAATCTTCAAAACCCAGTTAAATCAGTGTTGAAATCACAGAGATCCTGATTCGTCCTCATTTCTGTTCAGCTGTCCAAGTTATATTTTCATGACTTTTGCTCATTTTGGACCCTGAGCCTCAGAAACCTGGTGGAGGTTGCATCATGATCTGGGCTTAGTCTTTGTAAAGATTGATACTTTTATTATTACAGTGTTTATTGTGAAATAGTGTTAGTGCCAATACACAGTGGTGGTTGTTTTTTACAGTTGAATCGTACAGGATGAATATTTGGGAATTACGTGTTCTCTAATGTCAGAAAACATTTCTTCTTTGATTAATGTGTTAAACTCTAAATGTGAGGCTTTTTATTTCTTATCTGATTAAAACCTTGGATGTGAAAACAGCTTCATGATTCGTCTCTGACTGACAGAATAAATGCGATGCTTCGCTTACCTCAGGAGCCCTTCTGATTGGTTGATTGGGGCAGTGCGACGCCTCCTTCCCCAAAAGCATCAAGGCGTCACAGCCCGTTGAAATCCGAACCAACTGGGCCAAACCAGTTCTGTCCCTGCTGGTACCGGACCTCGGTTCTGAAAACAGAGACAACTCAGAAATGACTAAACTTATTCAAGTTTATTTATTTACCTCAGATTCTTTCCAAGATCTCCAGTTTCTGGTTTGTTTACCTGTAGTTTGCAGTTAGACATGTTGTGTTTAATTTCATCTTGTTTTGTGTTTTTATCCTTTTAAATAGTTATGCTGCCTCACGATGTGTAGCTGGTACAAAGCTAGACAGCTAGCTTACACTTAAAAGGTCTTTGAGTCGAAAATAATCCAGTCCTTGTTTTATTTTGCAACTCTGCTTTGTTTTATTTTTCCTTTCCTTTTTTCCTTTTTTCTTTTTTGTAAAACTGTAACAAAACACAAAAGTTCACATCAATCGCAGACAAGATACAGAAAACAACCAGACCACAACAAAAAAATGACTTCTAACAGCTCACAACACAGCGCCAACCACTAATGAAATATAACACAATATTATTATGACAAAAAATGAAATAAACTCACAGACAAATGGTGTCCAAGGGACAAACGTGTCTGAGCAGTCGGTAACACCGTGCGTATCACTGGACGAGCTCTGCTCAACTGACAAAACTAACTAAACAAACGATAGCCACTAGGTGTCAGTAATTACACTTACAATATAAAACTAAACAAAACATACTGATGGAGTCAGCACACTCCCCGCTTGGCAAAATAACATTTTGACAATATATTCACAGAAAACCGTCCATATTCAAATGCCTTCAGAAAGCAGAACAACAATTTCTGAAACGGGTCTGAGGAAAGTCTTGGCATGTCCCCCTTTCGTTGTCTTCACTTCTACCTTGCGTACAATCTTGTCGCTGCTCGGCAAGGTTTTCACAATGATTCCAATGGGCCAGTCGTTCCTGTGGACTTGACTGTCTTTAAGTAAAACAACATCTCCCACCTTTATGTTGTTTTTTTGCTGAGTCCATTTCCTGCGCACTTGTAGAGTGGACAAGTATTCCCGTTTCCATCTCTTCCAAAAGGTGTCTGCAAGACACTGGACATGTTTCCATTGTTTACCTTGGAGAACACCCATCTTGAATTCACCATGAAGAGCTGACACAGTGCTTGTCTTTTGGGTAAGCAGCATGGCTGGAGTGAGAATGGTTGGCATCTCAGGATCAGTAGATACAGGCACAAGAGGTCTGGCATTCATGATTGCCATGACTTCAGCCATGAGAGTGCTCAAAACCTCATGTGTGAGATGAGTATGTACTGTTTGGAGTAACATAGCATCTAGAATGCGTCTGGCTACACCAATGAGTTTCTCCCATGAACCACCCATGTGTGATGAATGTGGTGGGTTAAAAATCCATGTGCATCCTTTGCTTTGGAGATAAGATTCAACCACTGCCTCTTTGGAGTTGATGTTCAGTTCTCTGCATGCGCCCACAAAGTTGGTTCCCCTATCAGATCGGAGAAGCTTGGCAGGACCGCGGATAGCAAAAAATCTCCTCAGAGCGTTGATGAAGCTATCTGTTGACATAGATTCCACCAGCTCTATGTGCACAGCTCTGGTTGACATACAAGTGAAAAGGACTGCCCACCGCTTACTATTAGCACTTCCTCCTCTAGTGCGGCGTGTACTGATGGTCCATGGTCCAAAAACATCAAGACCCACATTCGTGAATGGAGGTTCCGGTGTAAGTCTATCTGCAGGTAGATCTGCCATTTTCTGATGTTGCAAACGTCCACGTAGCTTGCGGCAGATAACGCATTTATGGATTACAGAAGAGACTAGACGCTTGGATCCAATAATCCAATAGCCAGCAGCTCTTATAGCTCCTTCTGTTATGTGGCGACCTTGGTGAGCCACCTCTTTATGAAAAAATCTCACAAGTAATGTGGCAATGTGACATGTTCGGGGAATGATCAGTGGATGTTTCTCTTCATTTGACATCTCTGCAGATGAAATACGACCTCCAACTCTCAGCAAGTCCTTACTGTCTTTCACAGGGTTAAGTTTCTGAAGTGGGCTTTGTTTAGGAAGTGTCTCTCCTTTTTCAAGACACTTAAGTTCCTCTTTGAAAGCCTCTTGTTGGATGTCATGAATGATTAGAGTTTCAGCCTTTTTGAGCTCTTCCGTACTAAGTATTTTGGTAAAACGTTTCCCTGTTTTATGTTTTGCATTCTCGTGATTCTTCTTAAAAGAAACGACAACACTCATGAGTCTGGCAATAGTGCTACAGAGTCTTGTCCAGTCTGAGAAACGCTCAAATCGGTGTGAACCTAACTGACCTGATGAGGTGTGGGTAGTCAGAACTGTGACAATGGGTCGAATTTCAGCATCCGTTTCAGGTTCCACCAGACTGAAGTTGTTGGTTTCAGAGGGCTTTTCTGCAGAATCTGATGTCAAAAAACTGGGACCTGTAAACCAGCTGGTTTGTTGTAAGCACTCTGCTGCAGTAAACCGGGTGGCATGGTCTGCAGGATTCTGATTTGTGGAAACATAATGCCACTGGTTTGGACAAGAGGATTGCCTTATTCTTGCCACTCTATTGGACACGTACACATAAAATCTTCTAGAAGAATTATGGATGTAGCCCAGTACAATCTTGCTGTCTGTAAAAAATGTGACTGCATCCACACTGACATCCAATTCATCTTGGATCACTTCATACAACTGTACAGCCAACACAGCAGCACAAAGTTCAAGTCGTGGAATTGTGTGTGCAGGCTTAGGAGCCAGCTTGGACTTTCCCATAACAAAGCCAAGGTGGTATGTTCCATCAACATCAACTGCTCTGATGTAGGCTACAGCTCCTATTGCAAGCGTAGATGCATCTGAAAAAATGCATAACTCTTTCTTTTGCAGTAATGTGGGTGACATGGGAAAATAACTCCTCCTGATGTGTAGATCTGCCAGGGCTTTCAGAGAGTTTTTCCATGCGTTCCATTCTGCTTCTTTCTCAGAAGTTAGAGGAGAATCCCACTCATCTTGTTGTGATGAAAGTTCACGCATAAGAGCTTTTCCTTGCATTATTATTGGGGCCACAAATCCCAAGGGGTCAAACAGACTATTTACTGTTGACAGAACGCCTCTCTTAGTGAATGGCTTTGGTTCGCTTGAAACCTGGAATGTGAAACTATCAGTTTCTAAATTCCAAGAAAGTCCAAGGCTGCGCTGGAGAGGAAGGGGATCTGCACCAAGCTCCAACTCCTTTAAATCACTTGCTCGGTCTTCTTTAGATAAGGCTTCCATTACTTGGTTGCTGTTTGATGCCACCTTGTGCAGTCTTATATTGGATTCTGCAAGCATCTGTTT